GCCAGCCAGTCTATCTGCCTGCTCACTTCCCAACACACCGGCATATCTGGAGAAAATATCCAAAGGATGCTATCTACCCGGGACTTCTGAAATGATGTTTGCCAATCTGCATGAAGCATGCCTGTTTTCACCTTTCTCAACATGCTCTGTGAGTCAATTACTATCACTGTGTGTGTTTACAGCTGATTCTCAAGCCAGCGGAAGGCAGTAGAGACTGCCTCCACCTCCATTCTCAAACTAGGCCTTGTGATATCATATGCAAAGCTTTGCTGCACTAGGTAATGTCCATTTGCCTTTGCTATGAAACCCCATGCACTTCGTCTACCCCTCAATAGAGCTATCTGTATAAATAATCACATCACCTGGTCGGAAATTGTCATGAAAAATTTGCTGAACTTCTGATTCTGCAGCACTGGTTGGCCAGTCTCTGTACTCACGACCTAACGTGATTAGAACCCTACACAAGTCTGAAACTTGTTCGGACATCTTGATCCACTCTTCTCGCTCAAAATTATCAAGCCTGCACAAATGTCCAATTGTACCTTCAGCTTGCGCCATCCAAGACCTTCCTCTTTTCAGTCTGTGACCCTTGGCTCTACAAGGGCTTCATGCAGGAGGTACTTCTTGTCTGCAGCTACTCTGAGATATGACTTTGCTTGCAGAACTTTGAGCCTATCTGCCATAGTAGGCAGTGCAAGTATATATTACCTTCATGCTACTGGGGTATCTCTTGTACATTCTAGAATTATGGCTTCATTCTGTATGCATTTCAGTTTTATCAGCTGACTCTTTGATATGGTAAGCATTCCAAGTTCATAATGTATCACCGCCAGGATCACATGCTGGAACATTGTGAACAGAATTCTTTGTTCCATGTCCATTGCTGCCATAATCTTGAGAGCATGGAGTCCTTTTTGGCATTTCAACACAACTGCTTCCACGTGTTCCCTATTGGACAGACTTCTATCGAAAGTGATACCCAGGTACCTTAGTTTGATTTCTCTTTTGATGGTACTGTTATTAACTGTGAGGCTTGGAGCATCAGCTTCTACAATTCAATTGTCCAAAAAGCACCACAAAACAGATTCTAATTTTTATCTCCTTGCTGGTGCTTAACCATATTTTAAGGTTGTTCAATCTCTGCATTGCTATGGCCATCCTCCTTTAAATTTTTATTGAACAGTCTCCATTGCTGTTTATTATAGAGCCTAGATATTCAAAGTTTATGACATTTTCAATTTCTTCATCATTTATTGTTATTTTTGGATGACAGCCAGTTTTATCTGTGGACATTTTCGTTTTCTTTAAATTCAAGAACAGATTTTGATCTTCACTGTGCTTTTGGGCAGCCAATATTACATTTTCTTTTCCCTTTATGCTGTTCGAAAGGAGGACTGTGCCATCTGCATAGCGGAGTTCCGTAATAGGGTTGCCACCAATTTTGAGCGGATCATTACCAAAACTAAATAAAGACCATTCCAAGATCAGTGGCTACAGAATCATTACCATGCAGAACACTACGGGCAAGCTTCTGGAGAAAAATTGTAGCACGTAGACTCGCTGATGACTTGGAAAAGCCTGTCAGGTTACCATCCAGACTTGGGGGATACAGACGAAACAAAGAGACATGGTTCAATGAAGCAGTCTTTGCCTGTGAAGTCTATGAAGGTTTTCAGATGAAAGAAGTGACATGTGCAGCTGCACTAGATTTAGAGGATGCGTACAACAGAGTATCATTTGAATACTTGGTGCACATACTTCTCCAACTGCAAGTATCTCCCTTCATCACCCGCTGGGTAGCCGCAGCACTGTTTCAGTGACGAGTGATACTCAGGTGTGGCTGTTGGTCCTCGGAACCAATAACCATCAGTCCAGAATTGCCTCAAGGTTCTCCGCTGTCACCTGTGCTATTCAACGTGTACACAGTGCTGATAACTGAGCAACAAACCTGATGACATACCTTGGAGTGAGGTCTGATCGCAGCCTATCTTTCAAAGAACATGTTCACCATGTCATAACAAAAGCAGGCAAAGGCCTGTCAGCGATGAGGGTCCTGGCTGCCGCTAAAACTGAGCAGAGACTATTTCTGCTTCTGTTCCAGGGCCTTGTACTTTCTCCCATCGACTATGCGCTTGCCATCCTCACTGTCAGCCATACTCAGATTGAAAGACTTGAGAAAGTGCAAAATGAAGCAATGCGCATTATTCTAAGGTGCACTAGAGACACCTCTTGTTTAGCAATGAGGTACCTTGACTTCCCTACCATGAACTACAGGATCAAGATCTGGAGGGCTCGTGCATACCTCAAGATAAGCTCAAATCTGAAGCACCCTTTGCACCACATGCTCTTCAAGAAAAAGGGCAATAGGCTTAAAAGGGGCAAATCATGGCTGGGTAGGGCAGAGGATGACATCATGCAGGTTTGCAGCCTTACAGACATCCATCTAGGTGAGGAGTGGGTACCAGCATCTAAAGCGCCCAATCTCACATTCTCCTGTGTCATGACGCTCGATAGATGTCGGGAGCAGAATCCAGCTGCTGTCAATGCCGAGGTATGCACACTTATCAGTGAGAAGTCAGATGAGACAGATGTGGTGATCTTCACAGACGGGTCCATTATACGAGGACATAAGAGTGCGTGGGCATTTACAGATTGCTTTTCAGACAGAACAGTTCATGAAGCTAGCGGTGCCTTCTTCATGACCACCAGGAGCATGACGATGGAGGTGATGGCGGCGACACAAGCTTTCATGTGGCTGGGATCACAGGACTATTTTGTGTGTGTGTGTGCTGAGTGATTCTTTGAGTATGATTCGGCGGGTCAAGGCAGGCTGGTTACGCAGACAGTGGTTTGAGTCATTGCAAATTTCTCCTGTGTGTGCAGTTACTTTCATATTCACCCTAGGGTATGCAGGCGTTGATGGTAATAAGAGAGATGATAGACTGGCGGGTGCTGCATTAATTGAAGATGGCCGGCCTATGGATCACGCAGACATTTTCATTGCCCTTAGAGAGATAGGACATTCTGAGGATTTTGGAAACAACCTGTCAACATCACTGCTAAGAATACGCGAATTAGGAGTAACTATCGGCACAGCCAAGCATGAGAAGCACACCGGACGCATACAAAGTCTTTTTAACCAACATAGGACTGGTACTATTAACCGCACAACGCTGATAAATATGTTAGGAGTGAATCAGAGCGCCTATGGATGTGTCCTGAGGGCTGTGAAGATAATCTAACTCATAACTTTGATTCGTGGGACCAATAAGAGTTTAATCGAATCCATGCAAAATATGTTGCATGAGATCAATCAATTCACTCAGAACTTTAAAATGGCCATTAATAATAATCCAGCCGAGGACCTGAAGATTGTTATTAAAGCAGTAAAGAAACCAGCCGAAGGTCATGTATGTGTCTTTAATGCACCGGTAGTAAACAAAAGATGGAACATGCAGCAAAATGTATCCAGGTCATTTTATCAACAGCATGCAAGTTGCAATGGATGGCTTTCATATTTCAGATGAAAGAAGCTAGAAGATAGTGGATGCACAGCAACTGTACACACACACACACAAAACTGGCACATGTTGGGATTGATATTTGTTTGATTGTCCCTAGTCCTGTGCTTTTCAAGATGTTTGATGTCTGCATCAACAATGAATGCTGAAACTCTGTCAAGTCTATAAAGTACATTCTCAAGTAGTCTACAAGGGCTACGATCAAGGTGTATTTGCTGCTCAGTCCAGTCAAATAAGTAAAGATGATTTGTATGAGTACCAAGCAGGCCGTTATATTTAAACAGTTAAGCAGCATGGAAACTTTTTTCATTTCCCATTCATGAATAACATCATACAGTTAAACATCTCGATATGCATCTGGAAAATGGGCAATGAATTTATTTTAGGGAGATATCAATTGCTTCCAGTTATCTCTGTGATTGGTCTTTTCTTTCCAGTTTGTGACTCCAAGTGTTTGTGGGTCTGCATGAACATCATATCTTCACATTTTTTTTTGTCTGCCTTGCAGTCTACTTCCATTCAACTCTTCTGTCTCCATAGTTTTTTTTTTTCTCCTACATGCCCCAGTCACTGCAGTCTATTAGCCCTGATTATACCAGTAATCAGTGGCTGATTTAATTAAACAGAAATTGACTTTCTTTCTTGGTTCTCTCTGCTTTCTTTCATTCGCCTCTTCGATGAGTCTAAAAATGAGTCTTTGTTCTTTTGACTGTGCTCCAGATTTTACAGCCACACAGCACAACTGGATGGGACACCTGAGAACCTAAGAACAAAATAACTAGAATATCTTTGCACTGGAACCCACACAGGCACAGAAAAAAAAACAGACAAGAAAAAACCCACATGAAATTGAACTAGAGAGTGAAGTGAACAAGATAGGGAGGACATGGGGGTCAGCTGCATTCTGAAGCAAAGCAAAGGACTTGAAGTGAGTTATCTGGTCTATGCTTCACTGGTAGATAACAGACAAAGAAGAATTGTAAACCTTATTTCCAGATTTATTCTGGATTGTATTTCTTCTCTTAAGATGCTGCTACAGTTAAAGTTTGTACCCAAGAACCTGTATGTTTCCGTTCTTTTGATTTTCATATTTTTTTCTTAATGCAGATAGTATTTTTATCCTTTACCTGTCTTGTTATAACCATGTCTTCTGTCTTATCTCGACTGATAACATCATCATCATGTAGCAGGTCCTTTGCACAACATCATCGCTCTCATCATGGTTCGCCTGAAGGAAATTTCGTCTCGTGCCGGCTCTCCTGTCTGGTGAATTTTCAAATCCAAGGAGTCAATTATATCCTGTGCCCATCCGACAGAAAAGTGTCCACTGAACTATAAAAATATGTTTCTGTCGCTATATGCCTGATGTGGCATGAGCAGAGTCAACAAAAAATGTGGTCAGAAGAAAACAATTATGTACACAGTACACAAAAATGTACACAGTAGAACATCATTGCAAAATTATCAAAGAAATCTTACTTGATACGCAGAAACTTGAGTTGTAATAAAATCCCTCACTACAATCACATATGTGTGATAAACAAGTCAAGTTAGGTGTACATTCTATGTCTGCACCACAGTTGTCTCCCTTGTTTTTTTCTGGGTTAGGACACAATAAATAAAATGAAAACACATAACTTGTCATCTTATTACACATACATCATAGCAAACAATTAAACACTTGCTTTATAAATGCTAAACTTGTAAATAAGTTCTAAGTATCTGCAGCAGAAAAACAATATGAGCTTTTTATCAAATAGAAATGCTCACATAAAAAAGTACAAACTCCCAAAGCAAGCTACAGAAGCAAGGTAATAACTGACTATCAAATAACGGGCACTAACAAAACTGGAACAGCATCTTTCAAAATAGGTACATACACATTTATTATGTGTGATACAAGATATCTACAGTATACTGTTGTATGTGGCATCTATGATTATGTCAGATGAGTTGAGGTGTGAGGCTGAGATTATGAACCCCTGTGAGGTTTTAAAATGCATGACCTTATTAAGAACTAAGCTGTCACTTAACTTCAGATTGCAAGAATGGTGTGTGCATCCTACAGGAATTGTAGGAGTGCATAAGTGAGCCTTGTAAGCTTTTCTTGATCTCTAGCAATGAAACACCATCAGTGTAGCAGTTTTTTTTTTTTAATAGCCATTCTATATGTTGGAATGTTTCTGTTAGTCACGGTTACTGTGGCAGTGTGCATCGCACCAGGAGAGACTGAGTCCCAAATCTAGCAGTTAAATTGTTGAAAATCTGTCAATCCTAAAGTCAGCAAAAATGTTTAGTTCAATATGTTGTCGTGTGCTGGTATCTATGAATTCAAAGACCAAACCTTAGTTAATTCATCAACCATGTGCCACATCCACATTCTAGGTTGGCTGCAGTGGCTCTCCAGCAGTTTCTGTCTTGTATGGCCGTGATGAGTAGTGTAATAATGATGTGTTTCATTATGTTTTGACCAAGTTTATGTTTAGTGTTGTCGTGCTGCTCTTACAGCATCGTATCTAAAACTACACTGGACAATTATGAAGACTACATTACTTTGTACGCAGGAATAGTTTGTGCTGTCATAATAAAAGTCACCAAGACAATCACATGTGTTGTTATTTGTACAGTTCAAAGATACTGCACATTCTAAATCTGCACTGCATGGCTGTCCTTGGAACTTCCCTGAGTTGGGACAAAATAAATAAAGTGAAAGTAAATAACATGCAAATATAAAGGCACAGCCTGCCATCCAATAACATATAATCATATCAAGCAATAAAATTTCAGCTCTATATGCATAAGACAAGCAAATTAGTTAAGCAGAAAGGCATACAACTAAACTTGGCATACATGTCTACAGTTTGATGTGCAGTTGTCAGCTTGATATTGTAAACAACTCAGATATCATCAGAAGCTGAATGTAGTCGACATATTTACTTGTCTTAACAGTACCCTATCTCAGAGTCACCACCAACAATGAGATCAATGATAGAATCTCAAAGAACAGCATCTTCAGAAGACTATACCAACATCTGGCACTGAAAGGGTATCTTCTTGAAGATAAAGCAAAGGATTTACAAGGTAGCAGTTTACCAGTACTAGCTGAAACCTTAAAAGTGTATAACAGCCATAAAAAACAACTGAATTGATTTCATCCAACAACTCAAATAGTTTTTGAAGATCAAATGGTAGGACAGGATTCAAAACACAGTCGTTTTCAACAAGACAAACTTCCAAGCATCTACATAATACTGACGAAATATCAGATCCGCTGTCTGGCCTTCTAGCCACCATGATAGACCATCGTGTAGACAGACATGTCAGTTACAGACTGCTAAATGACAAATGTGTTAATAAGTGAAACTGTTCAAACTGCAGACAAGAATACCTCAGGGTTCAAACAATCAACTGACAGTTCTTTTCCCATGAACTAATAAAAAAGTACCATCGGATAAATACATATTTTTTAACGGTATAGATATTTTATACCTGTGGTGAGCACCTTAAAATACAGAACATATTTAAACTACAACACTGTATCAAATACAGCTCATGGAGGTCTATTCTATGGCCAAATAGAACAACACCAGATGTAAAACTCAAAAGAAGCCTAGAAGAACTGCAGAAGACAGTGCAGTTTATGTAGAAAACTATACAGAAGATATACAATGATTTACAGCAAACAAAACAAATAATTAGCTATGAATAATATCTTAAGTAAATTACAATATAAAGATGTTAAATTTAAAATAGAATAATCAAAGCAATGCAAAGGGAACCAAAAGCAGACCAGCCAAGCACTAATTAAAAATGTTCAATCATGCTCATTCTAACAGCCTTGGACCTGACCATTTCACCTTTAGATCCTAATTCTCCGATCCCATCTCCACATTTCATTGGTTTCTATTGAAGTATCTAATTATGATTGTCTTGTATAATTTGAACTCTACACTTGATTTCAGTCAATGATCCTAGAATGTACATATTTCTTCTATTACAAGTAGTCAACTATTTCTTTTGGAAATGACAATTCTTGTTTGAAAATCTATTCACCATATATCTGTCTCATGACCTTCACATGTTGCCTTTCATTTACCCTGTTATATTGGTAAAGCACATGATGATGATTATATTTGGCTGTTTGATTTTAATGATGTAGTGGTTGTTTTAGAGAAACATACGCCTCCATAACAATAATAAAGTGTCTGAAGATTATATGTAGTAGTGCAATAATTATGTTTGACCACGTTTTATCCAAGTTACTATTTCGCTGTCGCTTGCTTCTTTTGCAATATCCTATCTAAAACTACACGACTAAAATGTCATGACTAAATTACTTTGTACACAGGAATCACTTGTGTTGTCATAATACAAGTCACCGAGACAGTCACACATGTCTGATGTTGTACAGTTTAAAGTAGCTGCACATTCTAAGTCTGCACTGCAGGTCTGCCCTTGGAGTTTCCCTGAGTTGGGAAAAATAAATACAGTAAAATATATAAAGACAGTTCGCCAACTAATAATGTATATATCATATCAAGTAATAAAATATTAGCTGTGCATACATTAGTTAAGCAAATTAGTTAACCCTCTTAGCACAGACGGGCCGGTTATCGGCGTATGTCTGGCCAAAAACACGGAACAGCCGATCATCGGCCCGATCGTGTTTCGCCTCGAACCGCTAAGAAATCTCCTATTTTGAAACACTGTAAGTGATTCATTTATATTCACTGCTGTATTAGCTTTACACATGGCAACTTTCTAGTGTTTGGTATCGAAATGAAAATTGTTGTTGAATTTTTTTAGATAGTGACCTGAACTGCTAAAAGTATGTCTGATTCGAATGTTTCTTCCCCCTAAACTTGATTTTGATAAAACATTTGAATCAAGTGATGACATTAATTCTGTTGATTACTGATGCAGGATCTAGTGTTAGTATTAATAGTGGGGAATCAGATGGGGACGCTGTTGTGTTCAGACGACAGCCCAACCATAGCTCAGGGTATATCCACCCGAAGGTGTTGACACTCCGGCACATCCATTTCTTGTGCTAAATTATGGTCAAAAACACATGTCTCCGAAAGATATTAGTGCTCTTTCATATATATATATATATATATACCTGTTTTTGACTACTGAATTGCTTACAACATTTGTAAAAAGGCCAAAGATCAATAAAAAGATTTCAAATAAAAAATATTTATGTTTTTAGTTATATGTTTCATGCATTAAAGTTGAAAATTAAGATTCTAATTTTCAATTTTTAGATATGAAAATGAGATAATTTGCATATACATCAATTAATTTTAACGATATTGTGAAAATCATGAACTTCAATCTATATCCTTCCAATAGATATATTATTTCATGGGGGTCAGAATAACAGAAATGTGTCACAAAAATTAAATAAAGTAATAACTAAATTTACTGAAAAAATGCTCCGTGTTTTTGGCTAGACATCTGAAAAACTTCCCGTGCTAAAAGGGTTAAGCAATAAGACATACAAGACTTAGGTCTACATAAATAGGAAAAAAGCAATGACTAAACTAGAAAAGAGAAAATTAAGTGTTAATTCAAGAAGAAACATATCTCTGTGACTGAAATATAGGCAGAAAGGGGTTAAATGAACAAGCATAACATTTCAGACCACCACACGGCGTACTAATCCATCACTGTGTTGAAATGACAGAAATGGGTGATTAGAAAGCCATGGCCTAGCCAGCTATGCCGAACACACCGCCATGACATCTGACAGTGAGGGATGAAACATTCGACGAGTGCCCGTGACTGTGACCACTGAAGAGATACGTTCAAAACGACAGACAGGTGACACTGGAGTGATTAAGAAGGTACGCCAGAAAGAGCTGGAAAGCGGGAAAATAAAGTCATAGCCAGGGGCTTGAGAAGTTAGCCCCGGAACCGCCATGAGAAGACAGTTAGGGCTAGACCGCTAGAGAAACCGGTTAGGAGAAAACTAGTGCTTTACTTCGTTTAGAAGGATTTGTTAAACTTAGAGTTTAACTAGAACAGTGAGTTAGCCCCGGAACCGCTGGAGAGGACAGTTAGGACCGGACAGCTTGAGAGACCAGTTGAGAACACCAGTGCTGTACTTCGTTAAGAAGGATATGTTAAACTTGGAGTTTAACTAGAACAGAGAGTTAGCCACGGAACCGCTTGATAGCTTGATAGGACAGATTAGGGCTGAACCGCTGGAAAGACCGGTTAGGAGAAAACTGGTGCTTTACTTCGTTTAGAATGTATATGTTAAACTTGGAGTTTAGCTAGAACAGTGGTTAAGGAACTCGTAGAGAGTCATATGAATAGCCTGTATCCAGATATAAAGTATTCATATACTATTGCTTATTGAATTTATGAAGCCTGTGTGACGAGAATATTGTAAATAAACCAGCTCTTGTGTAATTGATTACATCACTGGCCTTGTTCTTGAGTATGATTGAAGAGAGCTAAGAACTATATTCATTCAACTTGGCCGAATCAGGCACATCTATTTCTTGGGGGATGTATAGGCACGACTGTGCCACAAGTGTGAGGATATTTGGATGCCGTGACCAACAATCAGTCTTGTGTACTCGACATCTTTAAAAAACAAGACTGCTGTTACAACATAACAAATAAGCAACTGCTATGAAAAGGTGAACTAAAAGCAAGTTTATGATTGTACCTGCTGAAGAAAAAAAAAGTCGATAAACCCGTCATCAGATTGGAGAGACGTAAACCAGACCAACAGCCTGCACCACTTTTTGGAGCCAACCGTCTACACTAGAATCAGGGGGACACGCCCGTTCTAGCCTGGAGCCACCCGTCTACACTAGAATCAGGGGGACACGCCCGTTCTAGCCTGAAGCAAACCGTCTACACTAGAATCAGGGGGACACGCCCGTTCTAGCCTGGAGCAAACCGTCTACACTAGAATCAGGGGGATGCGCCCGTTCTAGTCTGGAGCCATAATATAAACTTTTCCTAACTTTACACACTCGGAAGACTATAGAAAAGTCAAGAACTGTGAGCTGTCCGATTTTACAAATAGGAACTGCAAAATAAGAACCTTGAACATTAACATTAATTAGTTTAAATATATTGTGGTTTTCAATTTACAGTGGTGTAGGGAAAACCTTTTCTTATCTTTCCCTACCTTTCCTTTTAACGTAGAAAATATTTCCAGGACAGTGCCGATTTTAATTACAGTGTGTTGTGAAACGAGAATTTTTTTTTCAGACCGCACTTAACAAGGTAATACGACATTTTCTGTTTTAAATTCTAATTTAGTTTACATTAGTTTATTTTCCAGGTTTTAATAATGGCATATCAAGGAACAGTGAGAGCACAGTTTAGCAGAGTTTTTAATGAAGTAGCACAGTTAGGTAGAAAACTCCGTATTCCATTTTTATTAAACAAAAAACTGCTCAGCATTGGTCGACTGTAGATAGTCGTAGACAAAGACAAAGAGAAAGAAATTATAACATAGCATCAGTCACTAGAAGTAACGTCGCTGCTAATCGACTGTCCGGTTTCCCAGACAGGCAAATTATGCTAACGAGAGATTGCAATACCCTAGAGATAATCAGTATCGCAGACCAGACAACACAAAAGCATACGAGAAAAGTCAGGGTCAAGCGAGGTCACAAATACGGAATGAACGAGGGCATTTTATAAATT